CAGTTTAACCAAGGACAAAAGTCCTATTTGTACACAACAAATGCTTGACCAAAAAAGTATGTTTAAGTACAAGTCTTTAAAAATCCCATTTCCTCTTCCAGACCTACGAAACGGGACAATTGAACAGGAGAGAATGCAAGTGAATAGGCTGGTAACAGAGCCTGTAACAGTGTAACTTAAATTCTGCCGTTCAGCCATCATTACTGAGAGGCAGACTCTGGGGCCTGATGCCTAGGACTGAAATCTCACTGGCTCCACTATTTACAGCAAGAAACTTAAACTCTCTGGGGATAATACTAGTACCTATTTTATAGGGCAGGTGAGCTAACACACATACAGCTTTTAGATAAGTGTTTGGAACATAATAGTGTTATATAAATGTTTNAACCCGGGGCCTTGGTGTTATCAGCACTGCACTCTCCCGAGTGAGCCACGGGCCGGCCCAGTACCTCAAATTTTGACTAAGTCATTAGGATCTTGATTTTTCCAACAATCAAAGGGGTAAGGAGGAGGACAGAGGTCAAGGTCTTTATAGCTCCAGTATAAGCTTAGGGCCCAAATTAAACTTAACTCCAAACAGAGCTGATTCACACAGCCAAGATGGCAGACGTAGAAACAGCATTAAAGAATACTGCTACCTGATGTCTAGATTTCTTTTTCTCAGAAGTACTTATCTGGCCTAGGTCTATATAGCTGCTGGGAATGATAGCTTCCAAATACTGCATATCTTAAAAAATAAACGTCAGATGTAGGAAGGTACTAGGAAAAGTCAGAAATAGGATTAATCTGACTTGCTAGTCTGGTTTCAACAATTGACTTATGACTCACAAACTAGCTTTAGCTCAGGAGTCATCTAATAGAAGAGAATAAAGTACTAAGAAATAACATGAGACATTCTCTATAAATCTCTGAACTAAGACTCTTTAAAAGGAGCTAAAAACTGTTCATATTTGATAAGTAAAGGGAAATTGAGCAAATTATTAAGTACATATGAGCGGTCTTCAAAAAGTCCATGGAAAGATTCATATTATCTTTTAATTCCATTTTTCCACAAACGTCTTGAAGTACCCTCCCCTGCTCTTTAAAAACAGAGCTCCCCTGCTCTTTATTCTAGGAGGCTGTATCAGGGAGAGTCATCCCTCCACAGGATTTTAAAGCAGCACACATGTGGCACAAGCAATGGCTCAAGCTGTAGTGCTACCGTTTCTACTTGGAATCTTGAGACTGGCTGTTCCCAAACTGTCCCCACCTCTGCCCCACCACATTTCAATCACACTGATGTCTCTTCAAATCAGTGGTCGCCAAACTTTAACTGTACAGTCCTACCAATGAGAACAATTTTCAGCATACATCTGCAATATACAGATGTACAACTTTGGAAACCTGTGTTCTCTAAAATAAGTGTGAAGCAGGAAGTCTGTCTTTTTTTCTTTTTTAATCACAGTTTAACCAAGGACAAAAGTCCTATTTGTACACAACAAATGCTTGACCAAAAAAGTATG